TTCTTGGGAGCGTTCATAATTGCGCCGATGAAGAAAGACAAAGAGCAAAACAAGACTTGTTGATTGATTTACGAGTGTATTTTATTTTTATTTTAGTTTTTTTATGAGAGAGAGGGAGAGAGAGAAGGAGAGAGAGAAGGAGGAGAGAGAGAGAGAGAGAGGGGAGGAGAGAGAGAGAGAGAGAGAGAGAGAGAGAGAGAGAGAGAGAGAGAGAGAGAGAGAGAGAGAGAGAGAGAGAGAATCTCCTTCCCTGTTGCTCCTTTTCATCTTCGTGTTCTTCCACTTCCTGGTGCCTTGCTCCTTCTGGCCTGATGTTCCAGTAGTGCAGGATCTTCCAGCAGGATTCCATGCCTACCTCCTCCCTCCTCCCCTCTCCTCGTCCGCCCCTCTCCCCTCCCTTCCTCCTCCCCTCCTCCTCCTCCTCCCCCTCTCTCCCCTCCCCCCTCCCCCCTCCCTCCTCCCTCGTCACCCCCCTCCCTACCCTCCCTTCGGCCCGCTAGTGGCGGGTCTCAGCACTGTAGTTTACGAGTGTTCAGGACCAGTACAAGTTTGGGCGGTGGTCCGTGTGGCGCCTACCACAACACCCCTGCCGGCACCACAGCGCGCCCGAACCAGCTCCGCCGTCGCGAGCAGGCCGCCCCTCCGCCCGTCACCGTGCCATTCCCTCACCATACCCGACGCACCATAGTCACCATACCCCCTTGCAACCGCCGGGCTTTCGCCTTCGCTTCTACATCACTACGCCCACGCTCGATCTAAGCTCGTCACCGCCCTCACAAGCACGCCCACTCCCCCCTCCCCCCTACCCCCTTGACACATATATACCCAACTTGCGAGTGCTTATCGGTCAGTCGAAGTGGAGTGAATTGAACTTATGAATTTATGGAATTTAAGTTCAAGAACGGAGTCGTAGGGACACGCGTACTCACAAAGAGAGAAGAGAGAGAGAGAGAGAAAAGAGAGAGAGAGAAGAGAGAGAGAGAGAGAGAAGAGAGAGAGAGAGAGAGAGAGAGAGAGAGAGAGAGAGAGAGAGAGAGAGAGAGATAAGAGAGAGAAAGAGAGAGAGAGAAGAGAAAGAGAGAGAGAGAAGTGGGTGAGAGAGAGAGAGAGAGAGAGTTGTAAAGGATGAGAAAGATAAATTATCGAAGGTACGCTAATAACAGTACATGTCACACGCACACATAAACAAACACAAACATACATACATACAGACAGACACAGTCATACCCCCACTCCACGAGAAAAGCTAATTTGCTCGGTAGACAACCATTTTAGATTTTTACTTTATTGACTGGCGTGAAAATAGGGGAATAGACACGAAGGAAAAGGCTGGGGGGGGTGGGGGGGCAGAAAGAGGGATTGGGAAGGGAGAAGGGGAGACATAGGGACGGAGGGGGGGGAGTGAAGACACAGAGGGAAGGGGCAAGAGAAGGGAAGTCATAGAGAAGGAGGGGGAGGGGAAGATGTAGGGACGGAGGGGGAGAAGAGAAGGGGAGATATAGGGAGGGAGAGGGAAGGGGGAAAAGGGGGACATGGGGAAGAGGGGAGAGGGGGAGGGGAGAAAGGGGCAGCCATAGGGAGAGGGGGGAGGGAGACACGGGGAAGAAGGGAGAGGGGGGAGGGGGAAGGGGCAACCATAGGGAGAGGGGGGAGGGGAAAGGGGCAGCTATAGGGAGAGGGGAAGGGGGAAGGGGAAAGGGGCAGCTATAGGGAAGGGGTGGGGTGAGAAAGAGGACCCGCAGGTGTCGGAAAGATCACGCTAATGCCAGGTGGAGGGAGCCATAGGTTGGCGTGTGTCAAGCGGTGGGGGGGGGTGGGGGGGGGACCATGGACAGGAGAGAGGTGTGGAGGGCGAGGGCGGGGGGGGGGGGGGTTACATATACCACGGATGTCATTTTTCGTACACTTGGAATGAGGACTTGTTGCATTACGTATTAATAGAGTGAGGTTGAGATTGATTTGGCCCTCGAGTGGTGGCGTGAAGGTTCGCGTTTCTCTTTTGTTTGTTTTTGTTTTTTGTTTGCGGGTTATTGTGTGCTTGTTGTTTTTTTTAATGTCATCGTCATCATTGCAAGCTTCAGAGGATCATTATCGCCGTCGTCCTTTTTATTAGTCATCAAGTCCTGTATCATCGCCATCATCCCTTGATCATTATCGACTCCGTAATTGCCCTTCAACGTTCCCCCGCCGGTCCATCCATCGCCTTCCAAATCTACCCGACCTTGCCCCTCTGAGGCCGCCGCGAGCCCCCTCCCTCCCTCCCTCCCTCCTCCTATCTCCTTCCCCACGCCTGCTCTCTCCCTCCCTCCTCCCTCTTCCCTCCCCCCTCCCTCCTCCTATCTCCTTCCCCACTCCTGCTCTCTCCCTCCCTCCTCCCTCTTTCCTTCCCCCTCCCTTCTCCCGGCTCCCTCCAGCCGCCCTCCTACCCCTTGCTCCTTCCCTTCCTCCCCTGCCTTATTCCTGCTCCTCTATCCCTCCCCATTCTTCCTTCTTCCCCACC